AAAAAAAAAAAAAAAAAAAAAAAAAAAAAAGCCAGAGTCATTACAAGGGACCAGCGCATGGCCCGTCCTGTGAGAAGTGTTTGGAGTACAGGGTGGGTGGGGAAGATTGGCCCACTGTGGAACATTGGGGCACAGCTTTGACAGCTGATCTGCCCTCCAATCAGCACAGAATCACTCAGCGGAAACTGGTCAGGAATATAGAACTGCAGAGGGTACGGTTTGCTGAAAAGACTCAGGCCCAAACCAGAGTTTCTACACAATTCATGTGTATTGGACTTCATAAGACCTAGAAGTGCCTACGACGTCAACAATTAAAACCTGAGCTGCACAAAAAGCCTTCTCCAGGGAATCAGTAGCAAAGCAGCAATTTAGCTCAATCATAGGGCTCAAGTGCTGGTCCCCACAGGAAGTTCCTCCATTTTGGAAGTAAGCAAAGGAGAACAAATTAGTTCCAGTCCAGAGTTTAAGTGGTGGGAACAGCTAATAAATCCAACACAGAACTGAAAGAAAACACAAAAAACCCACAGGTCAGAGACAAAGTTCTGATATTAACCAGTAAAGGTCTAACACCACCAAAGAACACCTCTAAAACCTAGACAAGCTGGAAGCGCCCCCCCCCAGGCTCCTGAGCCTGGGGGGGGGGGGGGTCCAAGAACCTCAGCCACACCTCCTGACACCCACATTCAGCCCGGTGATGACTGAGCCTCTGCGAAGCCCTGCTGGCTCCTGAAACGGTGGGCAGGGGCCAAATCCTCAGCCACAAACCCCCAATATCTGCATCCATCCTGGCTACAACTGACCCACCACTGGAAGCCCCCCCCCCCCGGGCCCCTGAACTGTGGTGGGGTGGGCTGAGGGCAGTTATAAAGCAAAACTTGGGTGGGCTTGCGGGGTGAGAGGGGGAGAGGTGATACACAGTTAAAAGCACTACTTTAGGGCCGACCCAGTGGCTCACTCGGGTGAGCGCCGTGCTGGGAGCACAGCGGCACTAGGTGTGCCGCAGTCACGGGTTTGGATCCTATATAAGGATGGCCGGGGCGCTCACTGGCTGAGCGCAGTGCGGACGACACCAAGCCAAGGGTTGCGATCCCCTTAACGGTCACAAAAAAAAAAAAAAAAAAAAAAAGCACTACTTTATACATTGAATATAGGAAGCAAAAAGTATTGGGAGCAGACAAAAACTAGGAAAAAATAAA